CTCAAGGCAAGAACAGTGTTGTGTGTGTATGAAGCACTTTACATTAACAATAGCAGGAATAATAACAATATTAATGTGTTTCTCCTTTGGGGTAGGTAAATATCACTCTTCATTTTACAGCTGATGAAACAGACACAAAGACATACAGGATCATGCTCAGTGCCAATTCATGCTTCATTAACAGACCCAAGACTGAGCCCAGGAAATGGATTTCCTTGTTCCTTGCTTTTACCATTAGATAACACACCCTCCTTTGATGACATCCAGTCTCTCTTGTGATTTTTTTTCTGCAGAAGGTACAGCAACAGCAGCCTGGAGATTGAAGATGAACCTCCTTGTGCGGAAGAAATCGATTATAACACTGACAGTTGCTCTGATGGCGAAGGGGACTTCTCAGAGCTAGACCAAGAGATCCAGGAGTGCCTCTCATGGGTGGAAGTAGAGGCAGAAGATGAGGGAGAGACAACAGGACAGACATGCAGCTCCAAAGCTCTTAGAGGGCTTTACATTTCCAACCAGCCAGCATCCAGCAACACGGCTCTTCCTCTGAGTTCTGCGCCTCTTGGAGCGTACAGTGGGTTTGAGAGCAGCCCTGCATGAGCAAGACTTTGACTTTCAGGCTACTGCTCATGTTTGTCTGTTTGCCAGCTTCAGCATCCCTCCCAGATGTCTTGCTCCAGTTCTGCATTGACAGTTGTCTTTATGTTTGTGTGATCTGTATACATGTATGTACTGAGAATGTCTCCTTGAGGCAGAGATGTCTTCTTCACGAGGCAGAGATGAGGAGCCACTGGCCCCAGTGGTACTGTAAGAGGACATCATCCTTTCCTAAACAGAATCCTCATCCCACGGCTGCCTCTAGTGTGTGGATTCATATAGATTGATATGAGGAATGGTTTTCTTACTTTTGAAGGAACATCCTTTTTCCTGACTTAGGCTTTTATTATGGACAGCAGCCTTTGCCCACAGATCTCAGAATTGTGGCAGTTTGTGAGGCCTTTGGCGATAGCTCTCTGTTACCATTCATTTCTCTTGAGCTGTGGAACATGCATCTGAGTTCTGTCTGATCAGGATTTTGACCATGTTTCCAGCAGTTTGGGTCAGGCTGTGCATGCTCCTGAACTGGTTGTATCTCAGCAACAGCATGTGAAACCCAATGTGCCAGAGTAAGGAAAGCACCACCATATAGAGCAGTCCTCTGGAAACCTGGGCTAAATTTACCTCTTTGCTTCACTGGAATGAACTAGTCCAGCATAATCTCATTTGAGCCACTTCATCCTTGAACTGATGGGCCCAAGTGGAAGAATTTGTTTCACGAACTGTGGAATGATACTTTCTCTATGATTCTCTGTGAGACATCCTTCCAGCAGGATGCACTAAGGGAATACAGATAATGTTTAAGGCTGCTATTGGGAGTGAGAGAGGCTGGAAGCATTTCAAGGAGAAAAACGTGTTCTCTTGAGGTAGCTAGGGTCCTCCAATATTATGTCAATTGGATTAGTGATGGTGGCAATATCCAAGGGTGAATTTAGCCCAAGAATCAGTCTAGTGACTGATTATTCTTTGTTAGTTTTAATATGATACCACTAAGGAAATCTAACTCATGGAACAGGACCCCATTGTGCCGGATAGCAATATAACAGAAGACATTAATGGTAGGTTATATATAGGATGCATTCTTCTGGCAATTCCCATAAGGGAACAACTTATTTTATCTCCAAATGGAAAAAAAAAAAAAAAAAAAAAAGAAAGAGATTTCTCGTAAAATTGCCTGCAAAAACAGATCTTGATTTTATAAAGTGCTCTCTTACAGAATAAGTAACATAGCAATGTCTTTGCAAGCCTAATTCCACCAGTGTTAGAATTCACTGTGCTTTCACACAGATGTCCAAAGCAATGGAGATGCAGCTTCTTGAGCTCCAACACAGACCAAGAACACAAATGCATGCCTGAGATCGGTAAAGCACAAAGCCTACATCACATCACCTCTCTCCTCATACTCCTGTATTTCTCACATGTCTGCTGCTGCACATGGGGAATTGCCTTGAACCCAGATGGAGGTTATTGCACTGTGCAAGAGGCTCCCAGCTCTGTCGCTGCTCTCTTTATAAGGCTCAAGGAGGACAAACATACAGTGTGTTGTAGTACTACAGACTGTAGACCCCCATTACTGGTGATTACTGTTATTATTGATGTGTGATTAAAAGCACCCTGTAATCCTCTCATCTTTATGCTGTTTGTGGATAGAGCTGTTGGTGCCAACTGAGTTTTTTCTTCTGATGCATTTCTGACCTCCTTCCCCATACTGCCTGAGCATACATTTCCATCAGGAGCCAGCTCCTTGGAGAAACTATTTCTTCCTGTGCTGCTGGAGTTTCAGTATGCAGGTTTCTAAAGCCTTCAACACTGCATAACAGTTCTCTGTGTTTCTAGCTCTCTCTTTATGGCAGTGGTCAAAAGACAGGCAGCTTGGGTCCTCAGAAGCTGAGCTTCATAGACTGAGCTCATTCATTAGCTATATTGTTCTCTGTGCAGATATCATGTTCTGCTTGCCTTAGCGTGCAGCTTGTTGCATACAATACTGAATTTTCATAAAAGGATGGCTCACAGGAATGGACACCAATGAGGTAAAACAGGTGTTCCCATTATAATAGTTTGTATAACATTGCTTAAAAGCTTATTATTAAAAAATGATATGTGTGCATAGCTAACTTCAAATTCCGACATTCACATGCATGACAAAACACTCACACTGTGCTGAATCCAGTCTGCAGTGTACACAGGCCGTGGTGTAAGATCTTCAGTATTCTATGTGGCCCCAGGACACTGGGCAAAAAGCACTACTGGGCATATACATCTGTAGATGTGCATATATATATGCGGGCTACTCCGAAAATAATACCTCCTGTTTCTACTAGTTTGATCCACAATGCCAGAGGCTGATACTGATGGTATGGCAGCATAGGTTGAACCTTTCCAGCAATATTCCATTACATTTTGTTGCTGTGACAGATGGCAGCAAAGGGGCAGTCTGACAGAAGGTGTCTGACATAGGAGTGCATATGAAGCAAAGGGGTGGAACTGAATTCCTGCATGGGGAAAAAATAGCACCCATTGACACTGACGCTTGCTGAATGTTTATGGAGACCAATGAGTGGATGTGAGCACAGTGAGGCAGTGGGATGTGTGTTTCAGCAGTGGTGGCAGTGACACTGGGTCATCTCCACTGAGAAAATGCATAGCCAATGGTGGTAGCTATGCTGAAAGTGGTGTTTTGTAGCTGCAAATGTGCAGATAGATGTTGTACTCTTTGCATCTGTTGTAGCTTCCATGGATATAAAAAGGCAGCATTACTTTTGGAGCAACCTATGTACATCTAGAGCTGCTCTTACCTCCCACACTACGTTCTGTACCAACACCCTTCCACAGCAATAGTGGAACAGTGCTCCCTGATGTTTGCCACTGGTGCATCTTACTGAAAAGAAAAATAAAACAGTGTTTCTCTTCCTGCGACACCGGTATTTTAGGTATTGTGCTGCTGTGTTATAGGAAACACCTGGCCCAGGCTTCCCCCTGACAAATTCCTTGTTGTGCCAAACAACTTCTCAGCAAGGGGTGAGGGCACTGCAGGAGGTGGTGGGCAGGTGAACCCCCAACCCATGGGTACCCACTCTGCTACTGAAGAATTGGAAGTCAAGAACATCCAGAGGGAGGAGGGTTGGGTGACCAACTGTCAGGGAATGGAACCTGGAAACTTCCAACAGAAACAGTTTGGTGGATGGTGTTGTCTCTTCCAAGAACCTCTATGGGAAGCAGATGCTCTTCTTCTTTTGATAGACCTCTAGAGGTCAGGAGAGAACCTCCACTGCATGCCACTCGCTCTGTTATTAAAATTCTCCCTGAGTTATGGTAATTAGGCAGAATTAGGCTCCGCACAGAGGAACGGAAGTGCATTGACTTTAATAAAACAGAGTGTAAAACAACTTTAGATTAACTCCAGCCTTGTTTATTCTTGCACACTTGTAATTCTGATTTGGTATTTCCCTAGTGAATGGAGCTGTTGTCCCCTATGCTAAGGCACGTCACCTCACTTCAGCCCTCTAAGTGCTGAGCAACGAGGCCACTGCCTTTTCTTGCCATCACTAGCTAATCCCAAAGTACTTGGAAACAGCGATGGAGAAGGGGAGGGAGGAGAGGGACGTCTCCCTGCTCCCTACCATTGACATTCCTTAAGAGTCAGCAAGGCTGTCAGGTTGAGACGCGAGCCAAATATTTCCGTAATGGCCAGCAGAGACAGCATTCAGATAGTCCGCACTGCAGAAGCCGTCCTGGGCTCCCGCCAGACACATTAACTTTTTTTACTGATGCCTTTTGTCTCACTGACTCTCTTAGCGGCTCTGAATAGCCGTGCTCTCCTTCCTCCCCTCGCCGTGGGTGACATGACATGGGTAAGAGATGCGGCCGGAGCCGTGCTCACACTGCTGCCTCTGTTTCAGCCTTGCGCCGTTTCCTATCTGAGGTGATGCGAAGGATGCCTTGCCAGAGCCTGGCAGAATACACGTGTGCGTAAGCCTCTGGGCTAAAAATAAATAATTAAACAATAAAAATAAAAAAGAATCAAGTCAGCAAAGTGAAGGAAGAACGAAATCTAATTAGTTTTATCTGCTGTTTGTTATGAGGCTGTCAGAGTGCTCTATTCCCTGGTTTTACAGCACTCTGGAAAATAACAGCGATGATAATATTACACAACTGTGCGCAGGGTTGTTCTTGAGGCAAGGAGGGAGCAGATTAGGGAGGGGAAAAAAAAAAAGCAGCCCCACTCCTCACCGTTTTTCTCCTCCTGCCAAAAAGCAGAGGTGCCGGCGATAGCGCTATCTCCTGCCTTATCTGTCCTCAGAGGTGATCCACTCCATCCATCACTGGGAGACAGAAAGCACAAGTGGGCGACTGCTTGGCATCCAACTAAGGACACTTAAAATGTATCCTTTGTTCTCCCACAGATCTCCTGTGTGTTGCTGACTGAGTCACTTAGCCTTGGCTCCCAGCCTCAGTTCTGATGCGAAACCAGAGCACGGTGTTGGTTCCTCATAGCAAATACAGCAAGGCACGAGTGACATGGTAGGTGTGTAGGGTGAGGGGCAAGAAATAGAGATGTAAAGCTGCCCACATGTTTATACTACAGGGATTTCAATATCAAGTTGCCAATTGATGAGGCAGCTGGAATTATTCTGTGCAGGAGTGCAGTGGTAGTTGCCATCACTGCTTTCCACTTTATCGACATATAGTGATGGTTCATTAGACTGTTCCTCTTCAAAAAGTACTGGGTAATTTTAAAAGTCTCTCTTTGCAGGTTGTTATCAACCTATCCTGTCCCATCACCTGGTCCTCACACCATGGAAGCTTTCACAGCTGTTTTAGAGAGAGTGGGATTTAACCCTGTGTGTTTGTGAAGTGTCCTGTGGTTTTTCAGGCTGAGGGCTGGCCACAAGTCTCCAGCTGGAGATAACATGCAAAAGATTGGAGTGCTAAAAAGTCTGTATTTGTAATCACATCAGGAAAAGATGAAAGAGAAGGGTAAAGAAGGAAGAAGATGTAAATTGGAGAGGAAGAAAGGGACTCAGTGAAGGGGGAGGGATGATGAGAACAGAGAGAGATGGGAGTAGGGGGCATTTGGGGGAACGACAGGCAGAGAAATGGGAGAATTGTTCCCATTTGTGTATCTTCTTCCGTCCCCAGATAATGTGTCAGTATTAACAGTACCAAGAAACAGCCCTCTCTACTGTAGAATAAATCTGCCACTGTATTCCCCACTCCATAAACGGCAGCCAAGTCTGTATCCTCAGCACTGCATTGTGTGTTCAGTGCTGTGTTTTGTGAGTGCTTTTCATGATGGTTAAGCCTGTATCATTTCTGGCCTTAGGTTTCCTCTCTAGGGACTCACATCCTGAGACATATTCTGGAAGATCCAACATGTTTTATTGTTGATGCAGCATTTTGTGGCTACTTTCCTTGCCTTTTCTTTGTTCTGCTTCTTTTATTGCACTTAAGGAAAAGTGAAAAGAAGGGAAATGAATGAGGTGAACAGGAGAGAGTAAGAAAGAAAAGAGAAGGTAGAGAAAAGGGCCTGGCCATCATTCTAGCAAGATCTGCATCAAGATGGTGAGGCAGCTGTTTTGGCATTGAGTTTTTTAGCCTTCGATTAGGCAGCTTGTAGCTCATTCAGGGTGAGCAAGAGGGAAAGACAAATCAATTACTGCAAACAATCATCCACTGGATACCCTGGCAATAATGCCAGTCCCAATAAACAAACACTACCTTTGGCTAATGGACCTCTGGACACCAGCTCCTAGCCAGCTGATGCAATTGCAATCAGAGCCCTATTTCTTGCCTCCCTTGCTCCTAAATGCCTGACTGATGGCTTTGTCTGGATGGTTTCCAGTGTATGCTTTCCATGTTTACAGTGCATGCTCATGCACAGATCTGCAAAGATTTCCTGGTTTTGCCACAACATTTTAATTTAAATAATAATAATAATTATATATATATATATATATATTTAGCTTTCTGTGCTTGTTTCCACATCCATGGAAGTATTAATATTTATTTGCAGGGAAAAGGTCAACAAGGAGGTTTAAATCACAAGTATTTACAGCACAATTTCAGATCCTTAAAGAAGGCAGATGGGAGGGAATAATTCTTGTTTCCATCATATATCTGCAGTCAGTGAAAGAGAGAAATGCTGCCCATTGCTGGGATCTTTGGTAATTCCTTTCTAGGGGCAACTAGCTTTCCTTTAGTCTTTGTGGAAGGTGGCACAGGCGGACCAGGCAAATCTCCATGATGAAGGCATGAACAGTGCTGACAGAAATCCTTTGTATTATTTGACTTAACAGTGGTCTTCCAAGAATCAATCAGAGTGCTATTTAGGGAGCTGATAAAATGGAAAATTTAATAGAGGCGAAAAAGAGAGGCTTGGAAGGATAATGGAACAGACTGGTAAACATCTGAAATGATCCCAAGTACTAGGAGTGTAAGGGCCGAACAGGAAGAATATGAAGCCTTAGTGCGTATTCCAAGATATGACTTGATCAGTTTCCCAGACACGTGGAAAAGAGAAGGTAGGAACAACAGAAGAAGGATTAATTGGCTGTGAAGCATCAGGGAATTGATAGCTTGGGTCAAGGAAAGAGGAATACAGGCCAGCAAGCACTGACTTAGAGATTAGAGCAAAGGTAGAATGACAGGATCTCCTAGGGCAAGGGGACGAATAGAAGAAAAGTGAAACACAAAGTGCGTGTGAGAAATTCATTATTGTTTTAAAAATGAAAAAAGAATTGTTTAAAAAATTGAAGCAATAGCATATGACTCGAAATGAGAACAGACTGGTACCAAAGCATGTAAGATGAAGGATGAAATCAGAAAGGTCCTCGCACAGAATGTGTTAGTGATGGTTAGAGATACACAAGAGAAGAAAAAGAAATCCTATAAATATGCTACGAGGAATGAAAGCATGCATTATGTAGCACAGGAGGAGAGCACATACAGAGAGTTGGAATAGTCATTGTATTTTTAACTCTGTTTATCACCAAAACATTGGTATTAGAATCATGGAATTGTAGAAACATAAAATATCTTAGGTTGGAAGGGACCTTAAAAGCCATCCAGCTCCAACCCCCTGCTGGTTGCCCACACTAGCTCAGGCTGCCCAGGACCCCATCCAACCTGGCCCTGAGTAAGTGAATTCAAACTGTTGGATCTGAGGGAATTCCCCTTCAGACTGCCCAAGGAGAGCAGTTTTTGAATGGTTAAGAATGGACTTCAGAAGCTTCTCTCATATTAAAAGGATTCTGCAGACTGGAGAAGGGCAAATAGGGTATTTGTTTGTGAAGATGGAAAAAGAAAGAGCCAGCTAAGTGGAGTGCCTGCAGAGAAATCTCAACAAATTATGAAACAATCAATTAATTAGCAGCTATAGGATAAGAAGGTGGCAAAAGACAATCAACATGGATTTGTCAAGCTGATCTAATTTTGTTCCTTTATTGGCTAATTGGCTTAGAGGATAAGGCAGGAGTAACATATGCCTTTGCTTCAGGAAAGCTTTCAATACTGTCTCACATAACATTTCCATAAGGAGCCAAGGAAGTATAGTTTATATGAAATATGTGTAAGATAAATGCATAGTACCTGATAAATAACTCATGAAGGCTAGGGCTCATCATCACTTTACTATTCTAGAAGTTAGGCCAAATTACTCTGTGAGTAGAGAAGATGTAGAGAGAGACACAGAAGGTCTACATGCCTGCTAAAACAGTTGTCTAAGGTATGTGAAAATAGTCTTTTGCTGAGATAGTTCTTTTCCTCATTAACTTCTTAGTGAAGCCACCCCAAGAAGATATCCCACAACAACATCTGCATGGTATTGTTTTGCTTAAGCAGCTGTGAGTGTACTGTGAACCAAAACGTCCCTGGAGGTCTTCAAGAAAAGGGTGGATGTGGCACTGAGGGACCTGGTCAGTGGGCATGGTCTTCCAGTCTTAATGATTCTGTGATTCTGTGATGAAATAACACATTATTTATATATTTTTAGAAAAGCCAAAAGCATTTTATTGAAGCTCAGTTCGCTGTTCACCACTGTTTATGTCAACACACCTCAATAAGTATCAGTCTCACCTCCACCTCTCCCATGTAGGAGTCCGCACCAAAGCTCCCCTCACCCAGCTCAGTTACCCCATCCTTTCCTCATCCAGTCCCTCTCCTCCACATCCAAAAACCCTAAATGCTGGTGATTTGAGGGGCACCATCCCAGACAGAGCTGTGGTCGGAGCATGCACTCACTGGCGGCTGGCACTCAGGTAGATGCCAAGAGCCTTAGAGCAGGGAGTGCAGGGTAGAGCTGCTGTGCCAGATGGCCTGCCTGCTCATGGTTGTAAGAGCTGCTCTGTACTTTTTAGCTTTACTGATGCAGAGAGAACATTTTGAACCGTCTAAGTCTTATAACCTTGTATCATTGGCACACGAACAGCAGCAGCACACTGCTGAACATAATAACAAGGGGAGAAAGAGCTGTGGAATTAAGTGAGAATTTAAATCTTAGGGTTCACAGCTCAGAATGAGAGGCTTTAGCTGCGATATTTCCAGGAATTGGTTGAGTCATGTTTGAGAATAATGGATAAGATGAATACTTTTGTGACTATAGCTGAATAAATTATTTGCCAATAATTTTGACTGTGATTTGACCAGTCCTAGCTGCTTTCTCTAATGCGTATGGTGCGGGAACATTCACTGTATTCTGGATGTGTGTGCCAGGTATGCAGCTCCAGTCCTTGGCATCTAGCAGTGAATTTATTCCCCAGAGACAATTTTGAACAAGATTTACCCCAGAGCGACCGAATCCAGGATTTGATCTGTCATATTCAGAATGATTCATTTTTCACCTCATCAAGTAAGAAGAGAGGAGAGAAGAAGAGAGTGGGAAAGTTATTTTGCACTTCACAACAAACCCTGTTCTTCAAAGTCAGAGCTGCCACGGCACGGTATGCGGTGGCCCATCGAGGGACACGACAAATGTTGCTTGGCAACTCCACACCATTGATGGGAAACTCTCAGCATCAGAAATGGACTGAGATGGAGAGTGAGACTGTGGCACGTCAGGATGCTTGCTCCCATCTGTCCCTGCTGGAATTGACACCGCTCATGCCCTAGTAATTGTCAGAGGCACCAGCCAACGCAGTCCTTTCTGGTGGGTGAGAAAGTAATTGGGGGTCAAAAATGTGGAAATGTCCTCTGCCTCCTCCCACAAAGAGACTTTGGATCTCTTAATGTCCCAAATTCTCCCCGTGCAGCTAGCTGTGAGCAAACCTTACATAGCTCAGAGGTGTGGCTTAGTTAAATGCTACTGTTAAAAAAAGAGGTTCACAAAGAGCTTCTTGTCCTTTGCAGCACTGCGCAGCCACCTTGGCACATTGTCCAAGGCATGCAGCCCTGATGTAGTGTGCTGTAGCTCTGATAGCCTGCGGATGTCAGAGAAGCCAAGTTTGCAACAAGAGGCCACTTGTTAGAGCTGGAAAGAATGGTTTTCGGGCACTGTATTCCTTCATCAAGTGTTGTCACTGTAGAAA